CAACCCGCTTTCCTCGGGGGCCCAGTGCCCCACCGGGGCCGGGGGCCGCCGCCTCCCCGGGGAAGGAGCTTCGTCCCGCGGGGTGGCACCGGGGGATGCTTCTGCTGCCCCCCCCCCATCCTCATCCTCATCCTCATCCTCATCCCGAAGAAGGGTTTAGAATAACAAATCTGGACCTCCCTGGTCTCATGCCATGCCGGCCGGAGCTGATTTCTCCTCTGACAGATCCACTGGAGGTTTCTCCAACCCGCCCGGGCGGGACTGGTTTCCCTTTATCTCTGTAAGACTTAACTTTGTTTTGGGAAGGGGGGGTGGGGGTAAAATTGATCATTCACTATAGTTCAGATGGATTTTTTTCTTTTAAAACAAACTCATGTCAAGGTGAGAGATAACATTAGGTATGTTTCTAGAAAAACATCTTACTTGTCCATCATCTTTTACCATGATGTTACTATTGTGGCGATCACCGATGCCCAGTATAAAGGTAGCAACACAATAGCCAGCACAAGAACGTGTAAACAAGTCAATAGCTGCATCGTACCTATTGAAAACAAAAAAAAAGGAGACATTTTCCTACAGATATTTCCGGTTTTTTTTTTTTTTTTTTTCCTTTTTTTTTTTTTTTTCCCTTCCCCCATGATCCAGAGATAAGAATCAAGTAGCTGCGCCTCGGTGCACTGAAATTTCATTTCAATCCCTCTGGAAAGGGGTAAAAAAGAAAAAAACAACAAAAAACCCCAAACTCCCACTCGACAAGAAACCAGATCTTAAGTCTTTAAAACCATCCCTCAGAAAGTTTTGTTCTTTTTTTTTTTTGTTTTTTTTTTTTTTTTTAATGCATAGACTTTCTCATGTAAAACTTTCCATCATGAAGTAGTTCCTTGGGGGCTTCAAAATTTAACTGTTCTGTTGCCGGAAGGAGTTAAATATAACCAAACTTCTCCCTGCGTCAAAGCCCCCAATCTCCTTCCTCGAAACTCAATTAAGAAAAGCTGTTTCGGAGACATTTTGAGCTGGGGGAAAAAAAAAAAAAGTTGGTGGCAGCA